CCCCAAAACCCCCAAAACCCCAAAACCCCAAAACCCCTCGTTTGATATTAGTTGTTGATAAATTTTATATAATAAAAGGAATCTCTTCACAACCATCATGGTTATTCAAGCTGCTTGTTCAGTTTGTAAAGATTCCTCTTCAGAATAACTGATGGTTTCATTGATTTGTAGAGGTCTAAGTCAGGAGAAAACCTGGGATGCTGACCCTTGTTAGCTGGAGAGGTATATTTACCTAATTTCTCAAGACTATAAACATCATTAGTTAACATCAAGGAATATCATACCACTTTTGGTTGGATATTGAGGATTCCAATAAGTAATTTTCGGCAGATTCCTTAATCTCGCTTGACGAGAGGAACCTCCTGGATCTGTCAAGAGATCTCATGGGGGAGATATCATTGCGGCCTTCGTCAAATCTGACTTTTAGACGGCTGCACTTATTCATTATGTCTTGTTTTTTATACCTCTTGTTTTTCGTCTTCTGAAAATAATTAATTAAGAAAGGAATGAGATTACCTCCACGATTAATTGAGCGGTAGACTGAATGTCTGGGATAAATAAATTCTCAATTCTGGAGCCTGCCCTTGGGCTATTCTGGAGACTCAAAATGTGATTACTATCTGGCCCTCGGTCGAAGTTGAGGTCATTGTTTGATTTATTAATGCTCTTGGGCCTTAAAGTCCGTTTCTTATCTGACCTTGGCATAGGATTATTCAGCACAATGGCATTATTGAAGGTCCTCTTTTTGGACTTAGAGTATTTCCTATTGCCAGTTTCGATTTCACATGGATCTTCTGTAGCTAAATTTAAGGAGTAAGCATTAGGTGAATCAATCTTTATGAGCAACATTTTTCATACAGAGAATAAATAATTTTAACACTAAGTATTAATGGAGAACTTTATTATTATTTCACCTCGAAAATTTAGTAAGCAGCCAAATGATGCATAAGATTATTGGTTGTCTTCATAAGATTTCAAATGAGGGAAGCTAGCTGCTTTTAGGATTTGGAACCTACTGTATCTTACTAAATCAAACTAGCTTTCTTAATGCAGATATGAAGCATAAAGAAATCTCTATGAAAATTTTCTGGCTAGTCCTTCCTGTGGAATCCTTAAAAATATTCGTTTTTACGGTGAATCGTAAAATTCTTATTAAAAATGTACAAACCTTCATTACCTTGTTTATGTTTATTTGAACGTGGACAGTTTAGGGCATTTCAGGTCTCTTTTAGGGGATCCTAGAGGGGTAGGATTAATACTGTTCCCCCTGCTTCCAGCCCCCGAGCTTTCACTCAGACCCATGTCTCTAATGGAATGGATATTTCGTTTTAACTTCTGGTACAGATTTTGTGTATTGGGTGACTATGAAAATTAATATGTCAGAATTAAGGTTTTGAATATTTCATTACCTTAACAAATTCAGCCTTGCTCTCTGCTTCTGTGGAGGAAGGAGTGACCAGGGATGTGCTCCCAGAGACTATCTCTCTGTTGTGGCTTCCTATGGAGATTAGAACTCTAAAGACAGCTCTCATTTTCATTATCTTCGAACCTAACTATTCCATAGGACCATATCTACAATACTCAACCCCTCTAAACACTAAAAAATCGTAAAAGTACAAATTGCACATTCCAAACCTTAAAAATTCCAAAACCCCTTAAAACCCATCTCCCAAGGCCCCATTTTCTGCAGCCAAAACCCCTGGTTCTTACTCAGCTGGTCGATTTTTACATTTCGTGGTTTATACAACTAAAAGTTGAATTAGACCTGCACAAGAAGTGTACATATAAATTCCAAATTCTACAGTTCAAAATTAACCATGCTCCAGTAGTCCGCACAAGAATTTGTTCCAAGCTGAAGACCAGAGCTGGAAGAAAGAGTCAGGATTTTAGGGAATTTTATTGGCAGATAGTGGATACCTTTTCGTGTAGCTGTTTGTCACTCTCTATATTACTCTTAGGCCATAATGATATTTGCTTACTTAATGTATGAATCCTGCCTTTAAATCTTTGAAGGAATTCAGGACTTGCTCTTCGTTTCTCCATTTATTTATATCAATTGCTTATTGATTTAAAGGGGTTTTGGGGTTTTGGGGTTTTGGGGTTTTGGGG